TATATATATATATATATATATATACAGTTACATTTATCAATATAAGCCATGACAATTCTAGAACACTAAAGCAAATATTTACATGTATTGTTATCTGACTTGATGACACAAAACAAGTTTGAAAAGCTTGAATAGTCAATAAATGATGACAAAATCTATGATCGAAAACTACCAAACCAAATATGGAGGCACAGGCCTGTAATCCCAGCATTTGGGAAGCAGAAGCAGTCAGTATTAAGAGTTCAAGATCATCCTGGTCTACATAATGATAGTATATCAAAAACAAGAATAAAAAGCTATAACAGAACCTATCAGAAACTGAAGTCCCTTTCCACAGATTCTAACAAAACTCAAAATTACCATATCAACATATGTGCTATATTGTACAGTGAAGTCAAAGACTATAGAACATTGTAACCACAATTAGCTGGAGACTGTTGGACCCTGCAGTCTTAAATTTCTATCATAAAACATCAGACCTGCACACAGGAACAAAATCAACTAACCTGAGGTAGACCTTTCTTTCTCTTTAGATGTTCTTTTTGGATAATGTGTGCTTGTCTTGGTAGCAGGTACATGCTGTGTTGCTGTAATATGAGCAGAAGTGAATCTTTGTGTAACAATCTGGAGAGCCTTGGTATGAAATGTGGGCCTTTGTGTTGCTGGTAGACTCTGTGTAAATGAAGATTTTGCTGTGGCAAATCTCTGGGTTGTTTGAGCAGTCTGTACAGTAGAAGAGTTAACTGTGATAGGAGTCTGAGTTGTTAGTGGACCTTTTGCAGATACAGTATTTGGTATGTGAGATATTGATGTTTTTGTGGTTGAACTTTTTGTTGTAATGGATTTCTGTGGAGTTGGTGAGACATTTGCAGCTGAGACAGCTGCTGTATGAGTTTTCTGAGGTGTTGGTGGGATTTCTGTAGCTGGGACATTTGCTGTACTGGTTTTCTGAGGTGTCGGTGAGTCTTCTGTAGCTAGGACATTTACTGAATTGGGTTTTTGTAGGGTTGAAGAGATTTCTGTGGCTAGAACATTTGCTATATTGTTTTTCTGAGGTGTTGGTGGGTCTTCTGTAGCTAGGACATTCATTGTATTGAGTTTTTGTGGGGTTGAAGAGATTTCTGTAGCTAGAACATTTGCTATATTGGGTTTCTGAGGTGTCAGTGGGTCTTCTGTGGCTAGAACATTTGCTTTGTTGGGTTTCTGAGGTGTCGATGGGTCTTCAGTAGTTAGAACATTTGCTGTGCTGGTTTTCTGAGGTATCGGTGGGTCTTCTGCAGCTAGGACATTTACTGTATTGGTTTTTTGTGGGGTTGAAACAATTTCTGTAGCTATTACATTTTCTGTATTAGGTTTCTGAGGTGTTGGTGGGTCTTCTGTGACTAGAAAGTTTGCTGTGTTGGGTTTCTGAGGCATTGGTGGGGCTACTGTAGATGGCATATTTGCTTTGGTAGGTTTTTGAGGTTTTGGTGTGGCTCCTGTGCTTAGGACATTAACTGTGGTAGGTTTCTGAGACATTGGTGGGATTCTGGTGCCTAGAACATTAACTGTGGTAGGTTTTTGAGGTTTGAGTGGGACTCTTGTACCTGGAACATTAACTGTGGTGGGTTTCTGAGACATTGGTGGGACTCTTGTACCTGGAACATTAACTGTGGTGGGTTTCTGAGACACTGGTAGGACTTCTGTCTGTGGAACCTTAATGGTGGTAGGTTTCTGGGACGTTGATGGAACACTTGTACTTGGAACATTAACTGTTGTTGTTTTTGGAGATGTTGGGATCTTGGATTTCTCTATAAAGAAAACAATGTTAAGTTAAAAAGTAGCTAAATCTTGCTAACCAAGAAAAACTTTCCTAGCCATGACTTGCTCAATGACTATTCTCTTTCTCTACCACAAACCCCTAGACAGGATTCTTAGGAAACTAGTTTTTATTATGTCCCTCACAATGCTGCCTCATTTTTATCAGTGCACATTAACTGTACATAGCAAAGAATTTCATAGAAATGCTTCCTAACAAATACGAAATGTGCTTTGACAACACTCACCAGCCTCTCTCCCTCCCATTAATCCTATGTAGTCCCTAGACAGTCTCACTTTTTATGGACAACTGAAAACCACTATATTAGATAAAATAAGACCATCTCTGAAAGAGAAATATTGCATGTTTTCTCTCATTAGTGGATCCTAGATTTTATAAAACTACATAAAGATTATATAGTAAGAGATGAAAGTAGAAGCTACTTTTTGCATGATATTATCAAGCAATAATTATCAAGCATTAATTATATCAATATATGTATAAGAGACTTACACCAATACAATACTGCAGTTTTTAAGCTTTTTTTGTGTTTAAAAAAAAAAACACAAAGTTGGAGTAACATCTCATTATGTGACACATCTCTCAATTTTCTCCTTAAAATTATCTTCGTCTACTCACACCAAGGCAAAGAATGTTTTTATATAAAAACAATGACCGCAATAAGTCTGTCCATTGTCTTCAGAATGTGTTAGTGCATTTGTAGACTAATTCCTTGCTGGTTGTCTTTGGGGTGCTTTTACAAATCCCCTTTCAGGCAGCACTAAGTAGGGCTGAACTTCAACAAACTCACTCTTTGACCCAAAATTTGTTGTCCTCACTCAAAACAATGAGGATACAAACATGGTGGGCTGATTGGATCACTATGCTTCATATAGTCTCTCTGAAATATCAGAGTATCCCCCTACAGCTGTATAAATAAGTGTCAATTTTAAATATAAAACAAATGAGAATCCCAGTGCAGCTTGCATGCCATCACTGTGGAGAATGGCTTAGGTAAGTAACTGTACACACAGCTTGAACCTGAAGCAACAGGTTATATCTGCCATGATGTCCTACCCTGCCCACCAGACAAAAGGTTCTAAGTATTCCGATGGTGTATGTATTTTTCCCTACTTTTATTTAAAAAAAAAAAAAAAAAAAAAAAAAAAAAAAAAAAAAAAACCACCTATGTCACAGACTGCTTATAAGAGACAATTCAAAATTCCTGCCCAGGCAGTCAAAGAATGGTAGTGTGGCTGGATTAAGTGATGCTGCTACAGAGGCTATTCATTGTAAGGCCCTCATACATCCATATAAATTATTCTTTGTTTCACTAAATTCTTATTTTAAATCCAAGAATTTATATACTCCCACTGAGTTTAAATTTCCTGATTATCCTTTGGTTATTGATGCCTAATTTAATTCCACTGTGGTCAGAAAGACTGCTGTGAATAATGGCACCATGGCTGAAGGCCAGCAGATGGTCAATTCTGGTAAATATCACTTGAAAAGGACTGACCATCTGCCATGATGGGGTTCAAGTTCCTATATGCAAACCTGTTTAACCTTAACCACTGTTGCTCACTCTCCTCTGTTCTTAGTGATTCTCCCCACCCCTTCTTTGCTTTGAGCTATAGGAATAGGTATGTGGAATTCTCCAACTTTGACTATAGATTGGTCTGTTTTTTCTTTCTGTCCATTCAATTTTTTTGGTGCTAATATTAATTTACTAAACAAGAGACCAGAAGCTGGTGGTCATCCAAAGCAAATACCCTTTACGGTAACATGTCAAAGGGTTCGGCATTGATTATTCAACAAAGTCATATCCCTTCTTGGCACAGTGCCTTGGGTACATTGAAAAGAATTCAGTTTTCTATACACAAAGTTCTGAGAGAGTACCAGCCAGTATCTGCACTCAAATTCTGGTTCGGCATCATTCCAGACAGTGTGACCAAAACATCAAAGCACAAATCTAAGACAAGAGCCAAAGGCAGTAACATGTCTGGGTGCTGGGGCTTTCTGGCTCTGACTTTCTGCAGCTATCCTATTGCTCTGCCAGAACCTTCCATGCATTCTTGGTTTTCCTACGCTTGGTGGGAGAGTCACCTTGGTTCCTGGTCTCAGCTGTTGCGGGCACCGCAACACCATGGTGAGTGACTGACCCTCTGCTGTAGGTGGTTACAAGAGACAGTAAGACAGTGAAAGTGTCAAGGCCATCTGAGCAGCCTGCTGCCCAGGGCAGCTGATAAAAATTAATGAGTTACAAGTCTGTCTCAGAGAGTACATGGTGTTGAATTCTGATATGCATTTTGAGGAAAGGCACATTGCTATCTTTTTTGATTTTTTTTTTTTTTTTGAGACAGGGTTTCTTTATGTAGACCTAGCTACCCTGGCACTCGCTCTGTAGACCAGGCTGGCCTCAGACTCAGAGATCCACCTGCCTTTGCTTCCCAAGTGCTGGGATTAAAGGTGAGCGATACCTCTGGCCAGCTTACATTGCTATCTTTTACCAGGAAATCTTTTCATTTAATTGGTATGTTAATTTGATTTTACTTTTCTTAAAAACCATCCAAACAGTAAGTGCACATAAATACACACTAAATGAGGACGAGAACGTGTGTGCATAAAGAGGAATACGACAGATTACCTATGCACCGAGGTGGCGGGTCACTCCATTCTCCTTGGTCATTGTTCACAGTACAATAAATGGAACTCTTTCCAACCAGGACGAAACCTCTGGCGCATACATAGGTGACAGCATGTCTATACGCATAAGTGTCACTTTCCTCTCGAATAGTTCCATTGCCAATTTTTGGTGGATCTGGACAAAAAATTTCTTAAAACAAATCAAAATATCATTTAATAAATAAAGAAAACTGATACTGTATTTTTATAAGTAAAACTAAAAAAAAGCCAAATAAAAATTTTAAAACAATTAAAATCAACCATTTTTTTCTGAGCTTGGCTTTACTACAGAAGCCTTCCCTACAAATGCCTGCTACAGTTGTTCTCAGCCTGTGGGTGGTGGCACAAGGTCTACATTCTCACCTCTAGGGTATGGGGTTCTAGGGGAGACTGACTCACTGATGCCTTAGACAGGACAGAAATTACTATCTGCTGCATTTTTAAAAGAAATAAAGTGCAAGCCCTGCTGTAATAGTTAGACTGCAAAAAGAGATCCCTTTCTGATAGTTATCCTAATAGCAAGATCAATGGTTTTCATGTTCTTTAGCACCACTAAGTTAATCAAGAAAACAATATAACTCCATGTGCCCATCAAATTAAACTGTCTTAAATATACATAAGCAGGCACAGAATACTAGCAAATTCGTGATGCACTTCAAACTAAGCAAACACCACCCATTGGACTAGTCCAAACATGCTCTGAACAACTGACGCATAAGTACTGTTCTATGACAAGCAAAAAAAGCTGATTGAAGAACACTTCCCGGGTCTTGAAAGAGACAGACAATGAATGTGAAAACTACCACAGAAGTACGCATATGAAAAGACAGGAGGAAGACATTAACCAGCACAGGAAGTCCTCCCAAAGCACTAAGGGAAGTGACTCTTAATGGAGAGGTATCAAAAATCATGAGGGAGGGGTTGGTGATAGCTCAGTCAGAGGTACTTTCTGTCTAAGCATTTCCCAAAACATACATAAAAAGTGGGCTTAGCGGAGTACACCTGGGGAGGCTGGGGAGGTAGAGACAGGCAGTTCCCTGGGGCTGACTGATGGCTAAATTACTCAAATCAAGCAACCCCAGGTCAGTTAGACACTGTCTCAAAAAATCCAAGATTAACAACTCCTGATGAATCCAATGAGTAACACCTGGGGTTGTCCTCTTACCATACAGGCCTGTGTGCACATGTGAATATCACATATGTGCATATGTAACTATATATGTACAAATATACCCGGCAGGGGGTGGAGGGAAGATGAAGAGATAGGTAGGCCTGGTGGTTCGTGACTGTAGTCCCAGAACCTAAGCGTCTGGGACAAGATGACTGTTGAGACCATGTGTGAGACATGTGTGAGACCAGCTGGTGCTACAGTTTAGATCCTGACTCAGCAAAACCCAAAACTCTTAAACAAGTAAACTCATGATAAAGAATATAGCAACACGAGGGCAATTTGCATGTGTAGGGCAGTAAATAAGAAGGTAAAACCGAAAGGCAGAAAAGCAGGGAGACAGTTAGCTTTGAACACTACTAGGAGCTTAGATCTGTAAGTGTTCAGGCATGCTGGTAAGCTTGAAGAAGGAAAAGACACGGCGCATCTGGGTTTCTGAACTATCACCCTGGGCAGAATGAAACAGTAATGAGGTACAAGGAGAAATCATCCTGTATCATTCTAGAATTTCATCCACTGGAGTCCCCACACAGACCCCATGTTTTAAGGATGTGCACTGCCCTACTGTGGGTTTCTTGTACTAACTGAAGTGATAGGTATTAGGCATAGTGGATCTGTTCAATGGCAGCCTCTCCTACCACCCCTCCCTCCATTATAGGACATACTCAAACATCAAGAATTCCCTGTGCCAGTTCTTTCTGCTAGCCCATATCTGTTGGTAGTATACTCACTTCTAATCCAAAGGACAATGAAGTCGGCATTAAGTGTCACGGCAGACATGGCTCGAATACCAGTGACTTGCTGAATTCTTATGTGTGCCAAAGAATCCTCACAGTAGTGTAGGAAAAGGGGAGTAGTTTGGGGCCAAGGACTATTTTTTATATTCAAATCTTGGCCTTAAAAATGTTAGGGGTAAGAGTACAGATGGAGAAAAATAAACTATATCACAAGTAAGACAGAAGGGAGTAAGACACAGGTCTAAAAAGTATGTGGAAGTGGTAAAGAAAAAAAAAAACTTAGAAAAGCTAATACAAAGAGAGGGGTCTGGGAAGACAGTCATAGAAGACAAGAATTGATTAAAGGTAAGCAGATGTCAGGGGTCTGGGAACACAGTCATAGCTGAGAAGCATTGATCAAAGGTAAGCAGGTACCATCAGTCAACTGAAAGTAACTAAAAATAAATGTAACTAAATAAAGTAACAACAGTGAGATAGAAAAAAGCGAATTCTCCTGAGTGAGGCTTCATTGAGCACCAAGACCACTCCCCCATCCCCGTACCCACCACCCACCTCCGCCGTGTGGGTGTGTAACTAAAGATGATCCTTGAATGTGCCCATCACTCCTCAGCCATTTTCCTCTGTGATCAGCGCTACACTGGAGACCAGGGCACCCTCACTCATCTGTGTTACCAAGGATGCACACTTGAGGAGAAGCAAGCAGCTCACAGGCTACCAATTCACCTCCCATCAACTGTGAAGAGCTACACTTCAAAGGGTCAGTCTTCTTTCAGGGGCTGGCCACTTGGAGTTTGACCATGCTCCAGCAAGTATATGGACAACACAAACTTGGTGTTGTTTTTTTGTTTGTTTGTTTGCTTTTTCAGGGAGGAGGGACACTGCTACAAGGGTGGGAGGGTGAACGTTGGAGGAATGAGCATTGAGTGTGTTTGGGGAGCACTGTATGAAATTCCCAAATAATTAGTAAAAATATTATGTTGGGGAAAAGAAAAGAAGAATTCACTTTCTACTTTTTGTTTTGGTGATGTCAAAACAATAGAAAAAGTAAGTTGATATGAAAATCAAAAATAGATTCTCACTTGGGATTTGCAGGGATGGGCAATAACACTGGATTTCTCAGGTACCAGGGACTTCCCTGGGGAATGTGGCTATCAGCAGCTGCTGATGGAGCAGTGGCTTCAAGCCAAGAAAACAAGGGTGTTCACCAGAAAGTGCAAAAAGAAAACAGACTGTTGCTTAGGGCAGCACAATCATGAAGTGGGCATTCTGCAAACATTTCTGTACTAGGATACATTCCTGATGGGCGCTGCTGTGGCCCTAAAGGCAGCATCTACTGGCAGAAATAAATACTGGCTTCAGACAGGGAAACCGCCCACACAGGCGTTAGGCCAGGGTGCCTGGGACAACAAGCTATGAAGTCCAGCTCCTTTTCAGTCACAGTGTCATTACAAGATCTTTTACTAGGAGTGGAAACAGAATGGTGGTAATGAGTAGAAGTGATTTTTTAAAAAAAGTTTAAATAGGCCTAAGAAGAAAACAGGAATGGTGGGTTTAGCAGCCATGATGGTGTAATGGGAGGGGGCTCCTTGATAGCAGGCCTCTTGTTAGTTGCTTCACCTCAACTGATTGCACCCATTGACTACCAGAATGTCAGCCCACAAAAGAATGACTTCAACTTTCCTCCTCCTAGCAGCTGCTGATAGCACACACACACACACACACACACACACACACACACACACACACACACAGAGAGAGACAGACAGAGACAGAGACAGAGACACACACAGATACACAGACACACACAGAGAGAGAGACACACACACACACAGAGAGAGAGAGAGAGAGAGAGACAGAGAGAGACACACACACACACAGAGACAGAGAGAGAGAGAGACAGAGACACACACAGATACACAGACACACACACAGACACACACACAGAGAGAGAGAGAGACATACACACACACAGAGAGAGCGACAGAGAGACAGAGAGACAGAGAGAGACACACAGAGAGAGAGAGACACACACACACACACACACACACACACACACACACAGACTTAGCATTCATTTTGACATTAGGGTTTCTAGAAGCCATTTGAGGAAGTTGTAAGTTGCAAAAGAAGGAAAGATGAAAGGAATAAAGTCTACATTTAAAAACATTTGGCCTTAGTGAGACACAGTAGCCTAAGCATGCATGAGAACTCGAAATCTATGCCCAGCCCTCAAACAAATAAATAAACTGCATGCATTTTATTTCTCTCTATTTTAAAGGGAACCATGTCTCTAAAGGACCTAAATATGACTGGATACATTCATTTATGATATTATTTCTATGTTGTATTTTCTCTTTGAGAAGTTGAGATTCTCAAGAGTAGGAATGGTTTATCACACGACCCTATTCCTCAAATGATAAAAACATAAAAACTTTAAAACCTTCTAGGTAATTATCTTAGCTGATAGCATACTCTAAAAAGAGGCAGGTAGGCAACACTAGGTCTTACAGAAAGAACATTTTTGCAGTAAAAGACCTATATTAAAAGCCTTCCCTGACATATAGTTTAGGAAAGGGAACCAACTATGGAGACTCTGAGGGATATTTCCTTCCCTAAAACTGGGAGATTTCCTGCTTCTCTGATTATTAGAAAGAATGGTTAGACAGCAAACGACCAAATATAATGTAAATCAAAGTCAGTTCTTAATTCTTAATTAAAATATCCTATAGTTAAGGATACTATCACTAAGAGCCAGCTTTAAGAGTCCTCGCATAGCTGATAAATTAAGAAGTCTGTCATTAGTAGAGACACTCAAAAGTTGGGGTACAAATATAGACTGTGGATAGTACTTAAATGAGAAATAATTGATTTCATTGATCCTTTGACCCCCACAATATGAGGACTTACTTTTTTTAAGGAAACATACCTGTGCATGTTGGTAATGGGTCGCTCCAGTCAACAGTACTTCCCGTAAGATAACAGTAGGCAGAGGATGAACCAATTAGCCTGTACCTAAAGGAGAAGGGAAGGCTGATATATTCAGATACTTAAGTCTGGTCTTTCTCATTCTCCAGACATCATTTTAAAAGACTGAGGAGTACACCAGAAGATGGAAGCAAAATGACAGTTGATAACCATATCTATTGAAATTTAAAAGAAAACCATTTATTTCACAGTAATGATACTGAACCGGCAAGACTTCCATACATGTAAAATGTTTCAATGGCTCACGGTGTAGAAAATACATAAAGCGTTGTAAAATTATGTTTGATGAAATCTTTAGTCTGAGTTCTAATAGAACAAGCTTCATGGATAACAGGGTGCATTTATATGTAAAGGGTTGTGGGCATAGCATTAATGTAAACTCTTCACCCAACTGAATCTCTCTGCTTAATAAAGGTGGTGGCAAAACGCTATTTATCTTTCTGTTCTAAAGTTTGAAATGCATTTTGTTTCATTTAGTTTTGTTCCATTTAGTTTAGAACTTTTTTGCTACCAACCAGAGACCACACAGGTCACAAATCTATCAGTGTCCACTGAACTCCTAATCTGCTTTGTCACTATAAATATAGAATTTTAGTGTCATGAAACTTACCCTGTGTCACATGAGAAAAATATTTCTGAGCCAAATAATATGCCAGTTGTTACGTTGATATAACCATTTATTATTTCTCCAGGATTAGGACATGATTTTTCTTTAAAAAAGAAAATAGTAAGAATATCAATTTTTTTCATTCAATTACCAGACACAAACAAAAAAATAAATAAAACACAACCCTAACTGTACTGAATATGTTAATGGGTTAAGATGGTAATGGCAATCATACATACATACACACACACACACACACACACACACACACACACACACTGTTGAAAGTGAATGGGAGGAAAGAGGTCTTAAGGGAAAAGGAAATGAGGAAAAATAATGGGCTACATATAACATGACAGCAGAAGGTAAGATGACCTGGGACCAGCAGGAAGGTGGGATTTTCATACATCATGTCATTTTACTTTGGTCTTATTCACTCCCCCTCTCTGCTGACCAAAGTAAAATGACATGATGTATGAAAATCCCACAATGAAACACATCCATTTTATTTTAACTTAAGAAATACAATTTAAATGGTAGAGGCTGGTAACATGCTTTTCATGTAAGGGCCAGGACCTGACTTTGATATCCAGGACACACATAAAAAGCTGGCCATGGTATCAAGCACTTATTATCCCAGAGCTAGGCCCTGGGGTTCACTGGCCAGACAATCTAAGCCTCCTTGAGAAGCCCCAGGCCAATGAGAGATCCTGTCTAAATATAAGGTGAACAGTGCCTGAAGAATGACACCAACAGTTGTCCTTTGGTATACAAGTATATGCATACACAGACTCTATGCACACACACACACACACACACACACACACACACACACACACACACACACACACACACACACACACTGAGGGAGAGGTGGGGAGAGGGAGAGGGAGAGAGAGAGAGAGAGAGAGAGAGAGGTTAAGGGGAAATAAAGTGCTTGCTTATTGTAGGTGTGAGAACGAGTTTGGGTCACCAGAACCCATGTAAACAGATGCCCACAGAGGCACACACCTATATTCCCAGTGGTGGCAATATGGAAGCTGACGGGGAGAAAGGGAGAGGACAGTTAGTATGGTCTATGAGGTGAAGTTCCAGGCCAAAACACCTAAGGACTGACACCTAGGGCTGTTCTCTGACCACCCACCCCCCACATACACACACACATACACCATGTACATGTATACTCATACCTTCTCATTAGCTCCTACATGCATGCATGAAAAACATACACACACAAATAATAGACATTCATTATGAAATGTGTACCTTGAATTTACATGATCTTTTACTTATTAATTATATCTCAGGAAAGCAGGGAAAAATTAAATATGAGACACATACACACAAATTCATTCCCTAAACCATTGATATTTCTAACCCTTGCATTTCTTTTTAAATTTTACATTCATGTTTTGTTGCTTCAAAAAAGCATCATACGCCAGGCGTTGGTGGCGCTCACCTATAATCCCAGCACTTGGGAGGCAGAGGCAGGAGGATCTCTGTAAGTTCAAGACCAGCCTAGTCTATAAGAGCTAGTTCCAGGACAGCCTCCAAAGCCACAGAGAAACCCTATCTTGGAGGAAAAAAAAACAATAACAACATACTTAGAGTGTGTCATCATTTTAGGTAACTTTAAATTAAGTAAACATAAAATCTGTGAGTAAATATTCCTATTACGTAAACATTTGTCTAATTAAAAAATAGCACTGCGGCCGGGCATTGGTAGCGCATGCCTTTAATCCCAGCACTTGGGAGGCATAGGCAGGTGGATCTCTGTGAGTTCGAGAGCAGCCTGGTCTACAACAGCTAGTTCTAGGACAGCCTCCAAAGCCACAGAGAAACCCTGTCTCAAAAAACCAAAAAATAAATAAATAAATAAATAAATAAATAAATAAATAAATAAAAATAGCACTGGGCCAGGCAGTGGTGGTGCACATCTTTAATCCCAGCACTTGAGAGGCAGAGGCAAGTGGATCTCTGAGTTCAAGGCCAGCCTGGTCTACAGAGTCAGTTCCAGGATTGCCAAGGTTTCACAGAGAAATCCTGTCTCAAAAAAACAAAAACAAAAAAAACTACTCACAATCATTTAAAAAAATCATTCTTTATATATATCACATATGATATACATATGTATCTGTGTATTTCCAGCACATATATGTATATATGTATATGTGTGTATACATATACGTGTGCATATATATACATATATATATATATATATATACATATACACACACATACATATTTCCAGCATGAATGGAAGAGATATTTCCACAAATACAGATGATTGAGATTACATATTCAAATTATACTCACTTCTACAAATTTCAGCAACTTTGGACCATTGTAAATTCTCAAGGCAAGTTGATTTGCCTGATAGTGAAGAATATCTTTGAAATCCTGGCCGACACTCATATTCCACAGTGCTACCAATCGGGAAATAATTCAAGTTGACATATGCTTTTTTGAGGGATGCAAAAGATACCCTTGTTGGAGCACCACAGCTTTCTAAAAGAATTATCAAAGTGACAGAAAACACAGATTATAAAATAAGTTGACATCTTGTAATATCTGGTAGTTAAATCACTCCCTTTTCATTCAACTATTTTATTTATTTTTTTGGTAGGGACCCTTACATCTTTATATATTCATTTTTAAATAAATATCACCTTGGTATTTGTAGTATATCTAGTGTATTCACATGCACATCTTCATTTTTCAGTTATTAGGTATCTGTTAAGTTTCCACATATAAATGTTGATAATAATAGGAATAATAATAGCTTGTGTTTGTTAAATACTTCCAAATATTTTACACACACTTACTCATTCAATCTTCAACAGGCCCTGGTAACAAGGGTCAGATGAACCAGCTGTGTACATAAAGTCTGCACCAAGTGTAAATAGCTGGAACAATGAACTCTAGCTGGGCAAGGAATAGAGTAAGAAATGGTGGCTCAGAACCTGGAAGCAGCCTAGATGCCCCTCAACTGAAGAATGGATAGAGTCCAAAGGACCTGGGTTCAAACATTCCCAGCACCCATATGGCATCTCACAGCTGTCTGTAACTCTAGTTCTAGAGGATCTGATACCTTTACCCCAATGCACATAAAATAAAGGTTAAGTAATATTTAAAATAAATAAATAAATAAATAAATAAATAAATAAATAAATAAAAAAAAAGAAATGGTGGCTCAGTAGTCCAGAGTTCCAAGTTTGAAGCTTGGCTCTTTGGCATAAGAGGTACTGGTCTTGTACATATTATTTACCTTCTGGTAAAAGATTTCTTCAACTCTGAAACTGAGAAGAGTCCCCACTTACATAATTCATGAGGTTGCTTGAAGGATTAGATGAAGCAATAACTTCGGGAGAGTTACAAACTCTAAAACGTGTGGTGAAGGCTGAAGGGTTTCTTGACTTCAATGAGAGTTGAATATACAAATGTAAAAAGCCCGTTTCACTTGTGGTTTCAAAAGTTAGTTTTGAAGGATTCTGGATTTACTGTAGCTTCCCCAAAATCAGGTCATTCAAAGGCAGCAATCAAATGTCACTTTTATCTTTACTTTTCTATAGTCAGTCACCCACCATAATGATATTTTGATCCATGATGGGCCACATATACAAATATGGTTCCTTCAGGTATGTAATGGAGCGGAGCTACTCCTGTTGCCTAGCAACACTGAAGCCATCCTAATGTAATTTCTTACTAACATGTTTGTACTGGTGCTGGGGATAGCAACCACAGTCCATGAAAATCATGAGGATATAGCACATATAATCACATAGAGCAGAAAATGTTTAGTAATAAGTGTGTAGGTTGCTAGTTCATGTATTTATCATACTATACTTTTATTTTCATTGTTATTTTAGAGTGTAAAAAGATGAAGGGGGTAGGAGGGGAGACAGGTATCATAGGTTACGATTCCAGATACTTGAGAGGCTGAAACAGGGGGATTTTTTGAGTCCATGAGTTGAAACCAGCCTGAGCAACATACAAGCAAACAAAAAGTAAATTAATGCTATTTTATTATTTTTAAAGAAAATTGGCATAGCCTCAGTGTACAGAATATGGAAAGCCTATGTAGCGGACAGCAATGCCTTAAGCCCTGAAGGCCACTCCTCTCTTTTCCTGACTAATGAGCTATAACTGCCAACAATATTTAGTAGAGTAACATGCTATACAGGTTTATAGTAAAAGAACCAGCAATAGGCTACACTACAGAACCAAGGTGAGCAGACCCACCATCTAGTTCTGAATCCCTGCATTGTGTTCAGATATGCCAGAATCACCTAAAAACTGTGTCTTAAAACTAACATAAGGCTATTGTACAACAGATTTTTTTTTTGAAGTAAGATTTTAAAATGTCTCCCAAGAGTTGCATTCGTTAAAGTTGAGGAAGGCAGATCACCCGGGTGTGTGTCTCAAGGTACTTGCCAAAAATATTCACATATAATTTACTCCCTAAACAGAACCTATCGTTTATTTTCTCCTTTAGCCTGTACAATAGAAAGAAGAACTCTTAATGAAGAAGCAGGACCTGCTATAGGAAGTACCGCCTTCAATTAGTTGGAGTGTGAACTGCCAACACTTATACTCTGGGGTTTAATAATGCTAGAAAACTATCAATTACCGGTCACTCCAAAGAGGTGTAAAAATAACCTCAACAAGATACACAGTCCAATAACATTTCTCAAAAGAAATGAAGAACTTACTATTACAGAATGTTTCGAGGGTAGTCCATTGACCATCATTAAGACAGACCACTGTGTTATCCTTGTCTGGAATTTTTTTAAAGCCTTGATTACATGAATATAACACAAAGCTGTTCTCGGAAAAATTGGTGTTTCCATCCCACTCTGGCGTGGCATTGGGTATTTCTGGAGGTGGGCCGCAGTTACCTAGGAAGATAAGAGCAGAGTAAAGCAGACACCTCCCCTAAGCGGGAGGTCACATTTTTCCCCAGACCTGGATTAAGGGAAACAACAATGGTTTTTTACTTCCTCCCAATGCTCAACCTTCCCAACAAGAACTTGCAACGCCTGTGCTCTCATCGACACAATACAAAATTAAGAGGAGAGTAAATGTTCCCTCCCCGTTAAGAAGAAGTTCAGAATGTACTCAATATCCACACGGATACCGCGGCTAGGCGAGAGTTAAGACACCCAAAAGAGTGGCGCCAGACGCTGCTTGCAACTGGACTCTCACCGGCGCAGGTGGTCAGCCATCTGACCTCCACCTTAAGAATAAAAGAACCAGGAGCAGGCTTGGAGATTCGCTCAGCCCTCCCTTTTGGTTTTTCCACGGTCTCCGGTGGCGGGAACCAGTCACAGCCCAGAGAGCTCAGAAATCCACATGCATCCCTCCCGCCGGCCGACTTGCACCTGCCCGCCGTGGCCCGCGGTTACAGGGAACAATGCCCGGTGAGCATGCGCGTGCCTGGCCGGCCGCGGCCCACTCATCCCAGCTAGTGCCCAGCGCCGAGTCACTCACCCCGCACGGTCGGGGACAGCAGCAGCAGCAGCAACAGCGACAGCAGCAGCAGTGGAGGTGGTGGTGGCCGACTCTCTGGCGCGCACGCGCAGCCCATGGCCCCAGGTAGAAGAGTGGCCGGCTGTGGCCGGAGCTCTTTCGCTCCCGCGGTTAATTGAGCGGCTACAGCCAGCCTGGGTGGGGCGGTCCCTCGTCACTCAGGGTGGGGCGGCCCGCGTGCACAGGGCGTTCCCTCCGCGGCGTGGGCGGGCCGGCCGGGGACATGAGCGTCATCCTAGGGACCCAACCCCAGGGTGGACCTGCTGTGAGTTGCGTCTGAAGGGCAACTATATGCCTTCCAAAGAAGTGCGCTTCGCTCCCTTGGACTGGGTGTGTTTGCACTCAGCTATAGCAAAAGCCACCCAAACTCTCAAACTCCCAAACTCCCCATCTGCTGAGTGCTGGCAAAGCGAGGGCTAGGCGCGGTGGAATTCCTGGACCCGTGGGAGCTGAGAAACAGGGCACACCCAGGACCTTTGTAGCTCTAGCTGGAAGATGCCTGGTGGAGGGTGGGAACCCGTGGACAAGTATGTTGTCTTCTAGGTCTCTCCATGGTGTCAAAACGGAAAGTAGGAGCTGATCCAAGAAAACGAGCATAGGCTAAAAGGGAGCTGGAAACCATCCTGCCAGAGTCCTCTCAAACAACACAGGGAGCTTAGCTGATCATTTTTTCAGACCTTGTCTGGATGAGGAGTCTCTTAGTCCTGGTTCTGGTTATACACCAAGGAGCACCCCCTTGAATTCTACTTTAGGATTTATTCCTGCTATAAAATGAAATTCAGAAATAAGTAGTAGACCCTAAAACAAAGATTTCTTCTGTGCTGTGAAGATAAGCCAATAATACACAAAGCGATCCACACGTTGGAATCACCTGAGAGCATTAAAAAAAAAAAAAAAAAAAAAAAAAAAAACAAGGGCTGAATGCCCAGGACAAGCTGAACATCTCTGAGGACAGCTCTAGGAATTAGGGTTATTATTTAAGGTGTGTCACTGTGCAACCTGGTTTGTGAGGCCCCAGATCCATGTGATACCATCAGAGCAGCCATGTACCTCAGGGTATCTCTGATGAGAAGGGGGGGAGGGGTTGTGGATCCTCATCTAAGTTGTTTCCTTCTAGTTGTATGTCTGGGTCTGGTTAGCAGAGTCCTAGCCTGAATTGCCTATTCCCATAGCTGCTTTACCTGGCTGGCGAAACCCCTCACCTGAAATTCTGTCTTTGATGGTGGACCACTGTAGGAGTGTTTATTACACCCTACACTGGTAATCTTTCCTAAAGTTTTATCGAGGTTCCTTATATGTTAGTGTGAGTTTTTGAAGAGGGATCTTGTTTTCAGTAAGTGTTTCCTCTGATTCGTGCTTGCTTACTTAGCCAAACGCCCACTGCAGAGATTATAGGAAAAGGTCTCCTTTAGGCATTCATTGGAATCTAACAGTATTTAAGCATTCTGGAGTTTTCATCATACTCTAGTGACTCATGCCTGTAAATTTGAAAGGCTGAGCAAGTGGTGTGGGGCTCAAGGCTAGCCTGAGGCTTCAAAGTTCCAAGTTAACATGGCCTGTATAATAGGACCATTTCTCAAAAACAAACAAAAACGTCCTAGAGTTTAAACGTCTCATAAAGGTAGAGTATTTTAAAACCATCAAGTGTTTTTCACATATTTGATGTTAAAAGCTTTACTATTACTTCCTTATGAGGAAGTGAGTAAGGGCTCAGGACTGAGATGTGGTCTCAGCTGGTCCTTCACTTATTGCCTGAGGGCTTTCTGTGACTTCATTTTGACACTTTTTTCTGCCATGCCATAGGTAGTTTGAGTCAAAACCAGATAGGGAGCTGTGAGAAATATTTGAAAGAGTTCTCTAAATGTGTATCCAGATAGGGAGCTCTGAGAAATCCTTGAAAGAGTCTTTTAAATGTGTGTTAAATGAACACCACAGCTTTTATATCTAGACAGAACAATGGGCTCAGCAAAGCGTCAAAAACTATTACCCAGCTTAGCGACTTTTTCTCTGGAAATAAGTTCTTTCCAAAGGAACCAGGAAAGAAATAATGGGTGGACCCTTAAGTAATGCTTGTCACCACCCAAATAATTAAAACACTCTGGAGGGGAAGAATTAGAAATATCGAATGATTCACTTACTTAATTTAAAAAGAAAAGACATGCATTTAAATGTATGCACTTCTAAGAAAAGAACAAAACCTTCAAATTTATAGCTTAGTGAGAGTCTCTTATTTTCAATGCTGGCCCAGATTTGCTGTATTCCAGTTGCTTTATGCATATACCATTTTACCAGCACAGCTTCAGAAAGTGGAAAAGCTATCAGTATTTCACAGATGAGGGAACAAAATAGTTATTTCTACCAAAATCTGTGCAGCTAGGAAATGACCAGATTAGAATTCAAATCTAACTTGATTCTAAAACTTAGACTTTTGTGTGTGTGTGTGTGTGTGTGTGTGTGTGTGTGTGTGTGTGTTCATGCACATTTGTGTTTGTGTATTCATGTGTCTTTGTGGGGGTGGGCGACAGGCTCAGGTATCATCCTCAGGAACACATGTCTACCTCCTTTGAAACAGGGTCTCTCACTAGAACCTGGGGCTTATTGACTGGGGCAGGCGGGCTGGCCAGTGAGCCCCGGGGACACACGTGTCTCTGCCTCCCTGGTGCTGGAATTACAGACGTGCACTAGTGCACCTGGCATTTCTACATGGGTCCTGGAGATTGAACTCAGGTGCAGCAAGCGTTGAACTTGTGCGGCAAGCGTTCTACCAACTAAGCTATCTCCCCAGCCCATTCTCTGTAATGAACAATCATTAAAGATTTCTTCAGCATTAGAGCACAGTGAGTTAGGTATTCAAAGAGAAGCTTTGAGACCTAGGGCCTTCTGGTGTGAACACTAATTCCTTGTTTTTATTCTGCACTCTGAAAGGTAGCCATGTGTCTTCCAGCATCTCATTCCACATAGATTTCAAAAGGTCTGGGAACAATTTATAATCCCTATAGAGATCTCCAATTCCCAGATGACACATTTGTGTAGGTCAGGAAACATGAAGATACACAAAACTAAGTATGATTTTGAACGAATGAGAAAGTATAGCTCTTGCCTGGATAGAAAAGACTAGCTAGTCTTAAACATTTGTCAAATGTTTAAAACTTAGGAAACATTAACATTTCCTTTCAAGAATCCCAAATCTGTTCATGTGATAAATGCTCTGAGTGCAACAGCAAAATAAGTGCTCTGGAGTTCAGGAAGGGAAGTGGAGAGAGAGCAGACTGAAGACCCACCGATTCTACCAAACAGGACTAGCCAGTGTGAGTGAATGGGCAAAGATGTGGAAAGAAGGAAGGACAGTGTGAGCAAGGGGGCAACAAAGGGTCAGGTGCTTCCTAGGATTGAGAGACAGGCTAGAAAGAGATTTGAGGAGCCTTGTGTAGCATGATGCTGGTGAGTGATGGCAGCCTATGGAGTTTTTACAGGGAAGCACTGGCTAATTTGGAAGTTGTGCATAGATTCTGGAAATGGACTGACTCCAAAGGCACAATAGTTTGGAGGTTAACACTAGAAATACCTTAATTTCAGGTTTGTTTGTTTTTTAATAACGACTATATTATTAAGGGAATAGACCTGTTATTCTTAACAAAAGAAAGCCTCACATAATATTAGGTTTCCCTTCTTGCTCAGACCAAAGGCATTTCGAAGGAGGAGTCGTCCACAGAATTTGACAACTGAACAGAAGCTAACCAATCTTAAAGTTTGACTCTGAAATCTGAGCATGAGTTACATAAAAGAATAGCTTTAAAAGGACCCTTATCCCAAAACCAGGAGGCAATTGAGGGAAAAAATAAAGTTTGGCTTTCTGCTATTTAAATATAAAATGTGTTAGCAGCGTGTCTAAGTGGAAATAGGCAGCATGAGATTGAAATGTAGGAGATTGTGCTGGAGCCAAGAGAGAGACCCATCTTAAGAGGGTAACCAAGGAGAGAGCAAACTGAAACTCAGAGGGAGGCATTGAAGCTATGGCTTAGAATCAACAGTACTGGGAAGAGGTGTCAAAATAGAAGCAATTTCCTGAAAGACAAGGCTACCAAACCTCAGCCAGATACTGTCATTCTTCTTGTTAGGTGAGGGAAGCCACTGGAATTCGGGAAGTTGAGAAAGTTACACCACATGAAGAGCTTAGAGTCGGAAGGTCTCAGGTTGTTCCATCTCCGGAGTCTCTCTTCCAGGAAGTCTCCCAGCTCATAAGGTCACAAGGAGTACTTTGCTCCTCTCTGCCATTTAGCTGCAAGTGTCTGTCAGTTCCTCCCTCCAAAGAAGTTTCTATATGCATTCCCAGCCCCCACAGTATTCCCCATGACTCTCAAAACAGACAACAAAACTTTGTTTTGGGCTGAGTTTCCTTTTCCTTTTCTTTTTTATTTATTTTATTTATTTATTTTTTTGTCACACAGTTGCAAATCTAGGCTGCTCTGCAATGCAAATTAAGTGAGGCATTTTTGTAAAAATTTATAAAAACAGGTGTTTACTGAACATTTCATACATATTCTGACCATGGATTCCCCTTCTGCAACTCCTCCCCATCCTCCCCACCCACCCAACTCCACACCCTTTCCCTCTTTAGATAACAAACAGGCAAACAAACAAAATAACAAGAGAAGAAGAAGAAAAACACAAGAAACAGAAACAGAACCCACCCACCCCCAAAAAACCCACAAAGTTGGATACCATAATACACAAGAAGAGACTGGTGAGACAAAAAGAGAGAGAGAGAGAGATAAAGTCCAAACCAAAGCAATATGAGACCAAGAAAAGTCTACAAAATTATCATTTTGTGTTGGAAATCTACTGCTGGGCATGGGGCCTACCTTTAAGTGTGATTAATATACCCAGTAAGAACTTTGGTGAAAGCTATTTTTTCCTTGGCAAGCAGATGCCAATTGCTGATAGCATCTAGCACACCCTATTTCTTATACAGGAGTTTTTTTTTTTTTAATTTTTTGTAATTTTTAAATTTTCATACAACATAGTCATATGCTTTCCCTTCCCCCAACTCCTATTCTA